TGTTTCTAGTGGTATTAGCAGCAATTACACACATAGTATGTGTGTGCGTATATTTGCAGGATATGAATGTGTGCGTCCAAACACATACACAAAAGGGGCAGTTACTTAAGTTAATGATGTGGACACAAAAGAATCACAAAAGATTCTTGTCAAAGTTATAAAACTCTAATTTCTTCTCAAAATGGTGACAACAAAGTCACACTCAAGCACATGCTCAAAGCCCACAAACACACACACACACAAAATCCAACCCCAGTGCCCCTCCCCATGGCTTAGAGAAATTACTGCCACCTGAAGCGGAACCCTGTCCATCATGCGGAGGCCCCCCGAAAGCCCCACAGGTGTCCTTTAACATGTCCAAAGGTCCCTTCCTCCCCCCTCGGGCCTCCGTGTGGCCATTCATCTGGCTGGAGGGAAGGACATCAAAACAAAACACATCCCCGGGGGGAGAAACTCACAGCTAACTATGCACATGAATAACTCTGCAGCGAACACACAGCTTGGCTGCAGGACAATCTGACTATTGAATGTAAATCTCTCATGGTGGCTTTTAAAGGGTGTTTCTTTAGAGAGAACAGAACAAAAACTTTATTATTTCTCAAGTTGCACCTTTTTTTTTACTATATGCCATACAGATTTTCTCCAATTCCATAACTTTAGCCCATATACCCTATTGTTCTGCTTATCATCTGCGTCTCTGTTTTATTTCAAGTTGATCTATAGCCAGGGAAAAATCATATAAAGGATTAAAGTGTTTAAATTGGAGAGAACCATTTTAAGCTAAATGGCCTTCAGGTTCTTGGCTCCTAAACTCCAGTCACTCCATATTAATGAAACCTTAAACCTTTATGCAATACATCGAATAAATGCTTTTCAAACGTAGCCCAGAATGCATTGTTCTCCAAAGTGAAATCACACAGGGGAATAAATCAGCCAAAGCTGAATACAATAAAGGGCCGATGGAAAAGCAGCGAATTAGAGACTGAGATGGAAAGGAAAAAAAAAGTCACAACAAAGACAGTTGTGAAGATATCCAACAAAAAGGCAAATAAAGAGACACAGGTCAGGAAGGCAAGCGGGACGGCAGCTACTGCCACAGACGGACAGAAACACACACATGAGACAGTCGGACGTTCAGAATAAACACCGGAGCTCTTAGCGTCGCCCAGGAAGAAATTCTTCTCTTTGATGTCAGGCCATGTGACCTCGCAGCAGTCTGAGGAATTGAGGATCCATCCAAACAAACGTCAACACCGCTAACACCCTCAAGGTCGTATGTGTGTGTGTGTGTGTGCATGTTTGAGGATAAATTCTGCTGTGGACATTTGTATGTGTGCATGTGGTCGGAGGGGGTCTGGAGGGACGTGTGCCGTGTGGGCTCGGTTTCTCGGTTACTGTTGACTATTATCATTCCTGGACACTCACTATGCCAAGAATATTTAGGTGACAGTGGGAGCTTAAAGAATTGTGCGACATTTGGGAACAATACTTACAGTCTGACAAGACAATTGAAACCACCTGCCCATTAAATATCACGCCAAAACCATCTTAGAGTAACTTCCTCTAAACCAGCAAAGAAGCCCAAAGCAGTAACGGCTTGTAGTGAAGGAATAGTCCAGCATGCAACACCATGTACCACAAATATTTACTGTTTCGTGTACTTTGCCACAGCTTAAACAAGCTAGATGTAGCAAGTCAATTTGTTTTGCCCACTTTCCAGTCTTTGTTGTAAGCGAACCACAAAAGGCAGTGGAAGGACCCATTACTGAGGAAATCACATTATCTTAAACACGTAAATTACAGACACTGATAAAAATCTTCAATGCGTTTTTTGTAGTGTCGCCCCCTTACTCTCATCACATTGACAGCGTTCTTTCTGTTTTGGCTCATCACAGCCGAATGACCACAAAGACAACACTGCTAGACTTTAAACACAACCCCCTCTCTGCCGGCAAACAACGGTGTCTCATTGCAGCAGTTTATTTAGAAGTCTGTCGTAGCCCAAACAGGGATTTTGGCAAAGCCCATCGCTCCCTCTTTTAGACCACTAAGTACTTTCTGCTGCTGAAGACTAGTAGGCTGCTGAGGCTTAAAGGCAGCTGGACCTGTGTATGATGTTGAGATCGAGACATAAAAGTGAGACGAAGGAAATGGGGGGCAGTGAGGCTTAAAGAAAAAGGAGAAAAAAAACAGCAGTTCAGACACAGCGACAATGAGCGAGCAGCACTTAAGATGCTTGCTAATCGCTAAAAGCTAATTGTAGAGGAAAGGATAATCCGAGGCACTAAATGTGACTTGCATTGACCATATTTGTTACGGAGGGGGAAACATTTTGTCAGCTTTAATATCAACAGGTGGAAGAAAACTAAAAGTATGGTGCCCCCTTGGGGACAAACAACATGCGTCACTGCAAGATCCACATATTTGTTGACGGTTTGGTCCTAAAATGATCACATACATTTAGATGCTAATATGATCCAGGAATGTTAATGCCTTATTTTTATATCCGTATTCACTTTGCTGATCTGATGTAAGTAATATTAAGCCCTCAAGGTTTATTGTCAGCTGCACAAGGAAAAATGAGTGATTCACCATCTTTAAGGCCTCTCAAATGCGGTTCTGCTTTATGCTGGAAGACCTTGACGAAGCCAAAGACTGTAATGAAAAATTACCTTATTTTATGTCTCTCAAGAGAAATAATGGCAACCAGATCTTTTGTCCCCTGAAGAGAATATTCATGCACAATTTGGTTGGTATCCACCACAAATGCACAACAGAAGCTCGAGCTCTAGTGAAATGGTAAAAGAAAAGCAATAGGAAGCTTCTTTTTCATCTACAAGTTTATGACTTCCCCAATAGCCGCTTCCCTCTCTTTGTTTACATTCTCAAACACACACACACGCACACACACACGCACACACACACGGCTTCTCCACTCCACTGTGTGTAACAGATGAAAAATCCTGCTGCCAGCACACCTCGCGTGTGTGTGCACACAAAGGTTCATACATGCATTTACTTGTGTGTGTATGTGTGCGCGTATTAAAACACCCTCTCGTGTTTCGGCAGTATTGGCCCTGCTGAAACACGTGTCTCCCACTCAAAGGTTCCAGTTACTGTAATACCAGACAGCAGCGTTTCCTTAACAACAAGAGTAGAGTTGATACACCGACATAAATAAGCTTTATTTTGATTTGTTGGTTAGGATTACATTGTTTTATTTATTATTTGTATTACACTCTTGTTATTTGTGGTATTAAGTATTGGTAATGTGATAAACTCAAGGGTTTTGTCCTCATAATTTGATTTGAAAAATTGAATATAATTAGATAAAAACCTACCATCACCTTCTCAACATGGAGGTACTGAGAAAACACATAATATTAAAATAAGTTTCATTAATCTACTTATTGACACATTCATCATCAATTTCCACCCCTGCAGCAAATGCGGATTAAACGCATGCATTCTAGTTACTGGTACTCTCTTTAGAGTTACATCACACCTTAAATGGATCAATACTCTGTACGGTATTACATACAGGTCGAGACAGGAGAAACAAGTACAGGATCAACAAATGGACTAAATACGCCATCCTCACAAAGGTCTTAAGGATGATCATCTCAGTGCCCAACCCTCTGAAGCACTGAGCGGACGGTAAATAACACTCTCTGCACACACATGGTGAGACACTTGGATGTGGAAACAATCAGTCAGGACACCCGATGTTTGAGGCAATATCAGCTACAACAATCCCACGGGGATCCTCTCCTCCACCTCACTCCGCTAACCAAGTACCATCTGCTCAGTGAAAACCCAACTGAAGGGCGCAGTGAGGTCCTCCTCCAAGCACCCGCATGTAAATGAGAATAGCACCTGTTGCTCGTGAATGAATGGCCCACTGTCCTCCCAGCAAAACAATATGCACTGTTGGAGAATGTAACATTATGCTGTGGCTTTTTCTGATACACACGTAAGAACCTTCTTTCCATGTTGAGCACTTCTACCTCGAGTCCAAGAAAGCAAGTGGTGCGTGTATACGTGCTTTAAAAGACGGGCCATTCAACAGCTGTTTTAACCCTAATAGTCTTGCCTCGGCTCATGCTAATACTTATCAACAGGGACTCATTCACTCGTATTGATTGCAGTGTAGACGTTTTTTTTTTTTTTTCAAAGCCAGTTTGTGCACAGCCACTGCTGAAAAACACATCATCTGTTCACAGACAGGACAAAGAGGACAAGGCGCAAAATAACACTGTGAGCTTTAAGCAACTTAGAGATTTTAGGACTCAAGTAAAATATACAGTCATTTACAGTATATGTATCTACTATATGGTGTATTTAACTTAATGTTGCTCTTGGCAAGGTTACATGTTAGGGAAACAAGCAACGTGCCTGACGCCCTTCCCTGCAGTCCTCCTCCTTCAGAGACATATTGTGAAGCGCTCACTTTGGGCTATTTTGGTCAGCATGGTGGTCTAAAATAAATCTAATTATTTGCAGAGAAAGGGTGGTCCCTGTACTTAAAATGGCTCTTAATGAGGGCCTTGCGCTCCTGAGTTTGCATGATGAAAATAATGGACCACAATGAACAACTACTGTTACTTTATCAAATCTCATGTGCTTCAGTATTTGTACTGATTTGTGTTGTTTCTAACTTCGACACTATTGACTAAGTGGTTTATGTAAACTTTGGAAAGAAATGTCATGGTGTACAAATAGTAATATTACTATGCACCAATTATCACGCATCACCACTGGGTTGTGATGTCAAATTGTTTTATCTCCAACAGGACAGCGAGGGAAACCCCTTTAACCGAGGTCATTTAAATGAGATGTTTCCTAAAAATGTACTTAGATGGTATCTTAAACAGATGATATACTGTATACTATTTGACAAAATATTTGATTAGTCAAAAATGTCCTAGCTCCCGTAGTGATAGTACATGCACAAAGTGTTTGAATAAGTAGACTGATGGAATGATGCATTTTGCTCCTACCTGTAGATGAGGGTTAAAGTTAACTGAATTCCACTGACGGGGCTGACACACTGCTCTGCAATCGCTGCACACAAACACACAAGAAGATACAGTAAGACAACGCAGAGGCTCCTTTTCAAAAAACATCACATTATGATTTGTGTTAAAGACCTGGAACTGGTTTTAAAGTAAGTAACAGATCATGTCATACAAACACCAAGCAGTCGATCACTGAGGCTGATGGTTTACTGGAGCTTACGGTACCACGTACACCTGTTAGCTATTGTTGCATCAAGTCAACATGTTTCCTCAAATACATATAAAACACATAGCTCTTACTCAGGTGAGCAGCTTTTATGATCCTCGTGTGTTTGTCCTTGCTTTATTTGATGGATCAAAAATGTAAAAATACAAAATGGGCTTAGAGTGACTTTAAAACAGACGCACAGGCTGTTTGCCAAGAATTTGCACATTTTATTAGATCTTGTATGCGGAGGGTGAGGTCTTAGGGATCCCCACCTGTAGAGTTGGAAAATGTTGCTCAGATAAATACTCTTTACGTAAACATGGCTCTCTGGGCGGGTCCATTTCTTCACCTCTAACAAAACATAACCTCCAAACCTCCAAAACACTGTAACTGGCACCGGGTTGGTTTCACACAACGTTTCTTTTTATTGCCACCATATAAACCACCCCAGCCGTACGTTTGTGTGAATGTGTGTGTGTGTCTCTCGGTTTGGCGTTCACATTAGGTGTCGGGAAGACCAGATTGGGCATAAATCAAAAGGTCTACAAACTTTAGTAAAATAAAAAAAGCTCCAAATAGTGGAGAAATAAATTAAAAGGAAAGAAATAATTAAATTGATCAAGTAAAGGTGCGATTCAGATTCCAAAAAATAAAGAAAACATATTTAGTCATTTCTGACACTCACAGATGAATGAGAATCATCATTACATGAAAGGCCCGGGCTTGACTCTAACAATAAGGAAAGTTCAGCTACAAAGACGAGCAGGCTGAACCCAAACTGACAATCGAGTTATTAAAAAACTAGGTAATAGTGTAAAGATGATTAAAAATACTGGATAGTGTTCGGATAAGCGGGACAGACCACAACACCTGCTGGCTCCAGCCTGATGGAGACGTTCTCAAGTCTTTGTTTATGTCGAATGTTCTCAAACAAAAATACATTATCGTTTCGACCCGACCTGAACAGTGCCCTTCGTGACAAGATTAAGAATTCTCGCATATATTATATATATTATATGCTCGGAAAGGTTGAAGACATTCATGTTAATGTGGCACACCTTCAGTTCACCCGCAAGTCAACGTTTGAACACCTGAGTGCAGCGATTAATAACTTCAGATCGACGCTGCACCCGACCCGCGGCGCGCTGCAGGCAGAAGAAACGCCACTGTGGGTGTCAGCTCACACTCCGGCCTTCAGCTATCCAAAGCAGGCGTGTTGTGGCGAGCGCCAGGCGGCGTGCCAGACAGGTTGGTTGTTGTTTCTGACAGGATCAGTGGTGGGGGGGGGGGGGGATTACTGCCTAAATCACTTCCTTCTTTGAGTTTCTACAATCTGTCAGCTCGCTGACTGCTTCCCAATTGCCAATAAAAACAGAGACAGGTGAGACGCCTCAAGAAAAGCAGCGTCCGGCAGTGGAGACGCACGCGGGTGGAGATTGATGCGTAAACACTTGCCGCTGTGCGGCGTCCTTCACAGCGTTTCTCTCGATAGGCTCCGCCTGCTCTGTTCCAACACACTGAATCTCATCTATGCGGAACCTTGAAAAGATGTGTTGGATTCTGATAAATGACGGTTGTGTTTATTCACACAAAGACATTGGACAAACAACCATATGCACACCATTGAATAAGCAAAACCAAAGAACTCACACATACAGCAAGCAGTGCATGCTGCCAGCTGCTACGTCACGTTAAGCATGAAATATAAAAACTTTCTCAGTGTTGTCTGGCATTGTTTTACCCCCTAAAACTCAGATATCGTAAGTACGAGGACATTCTGGGTCATAAATCTGAACAGCATTGAAAGAAAAGTAACTTCTACAGCATGTGGATGCTGAGTATGAGCTCAATGCAGGTCTGGGGAGAATATAATAAAATCAATACGTTAAGAGGGGAAAGACAGTCATGTTATTTTCAGACTACAGACCGATAAAACTGACATGTTTTACTTGTAAATGTTATCCATTTATGTGTTTTTCTATCTACAAATGGGTGTATTTAGATACACAAACATTTCAAACAACCACGTGTAGAGACACAACAGAAACAATCTACTTAAGATCATGAGGTGTAGATATTTTGATCGACCTTTGACTACTAGTGAACCAAAATATTTTGGCCAGAGCTTTTGGTAGTTTTAAGACTAGCGTTTCTTAAGTTTACAAGTTTGTCTGTTTCTTCTATCATTATTCAACTGTTTTGCACAGAGGCGCATTTGTCTCTTTCTACGGTTTCCTTCAGTCTTGTTGAACATTTTCTTCTAAAAAACAAAGCCTTCATACAAAACAACACAATGGTTTGGAGACTTTTCGAAAGCCTCAAACCATGAAAGACCATTAAAAACATAGAGACGTCCATTCAGCCATCTGACTAACAAATTGTGCCTTTGTGGGAGGCGATGCCAGCGGTGTGGGGGGTTCTCACCCACTGCATTCATAACATTATGAAAAATAACTCAATGCTAAATTTGTCATGTCCTCTATTCGGATCTCAGACCATTCTGCAAGCCAACATACCACCCACCCTTCACCATCTGCCGAGCCACGCAGTAAAACAGTACCACGATAGAGGTTTGAGTACATCTTAGAAAACCATTAAAAAAACACACGATCAAATTCATGCGAGTCGGTAAATAGCTAAATGTACCAACAGAAGATGGATTCATAATTATGGGTAAAGAGGCAATCACTCAGCGAGCCTGGACTTGTACCCCACGCTCACACACTGCTGCTCTCACAGGCGCTTCTGTCAGGTGGTCTCAAACACACACACACACACGTCCTCACCTTTCATACAGTAAAAGTCCCTGGATCCCGTTTAAACCTGTTGCAGGTCTACCTGGCTGTGCGCTCGATGCTCAACGTCCAGGCCCTCCACATCGACAGCAACACTGATCCAAACTTAATCGAGTCCAGTTTGCTGTGTAGCACAGCACGTAAATCGTTACAGTTGTATCTGTCATTATTTGGATCCAACCGACACCTCATTTTGTGAAAGAAAGACTTGAAGAACGCACACAACCTTCTGAGTGCCCAAAAGCAGTCACAGTTCACATAGCGGAGCATTTAGCAGCTTATTATCTCGCTTCATTAGAATCGTCACATAATTATACGTAATTAAACATACACAGAACTATATATATGATTTTTTTAATCTGTATTTAACCAAACCGAAGCGTTTTGGAGCAGACTGCTTTAATGCAAATAGGAGCCAAACTACCTTTAGTTTCTCAGAATCAGCCTGACGAGCACAGCCAGCGGGACGGATGCACGGAAAGAGAAGCTCGCAGTGCAACACACAAGGAGGGGGAGCGCTTTTATCCTTCATCCCCACAGTGGAATATGTTAAAGTCTTATTTATTGGGGGTGGAATGTGTTAGAGAGAGAGGAGGGAGTCCGGCATTAGAACTGAACTGAACAAGTCGTATGGTCTGTAAAATCCAACCGGGAACCTGATCACAGACAAATAGGCTTCATTTAACTTGTTATATGTTATATATGTTACATGTTATATTAAAATTGCACAGGGCTTCCGTACATGTACACACAAACACACACACACACACACACACACACATAGACCCACACTCATAGTTTAATTTGGCAATTTTAGAGATAAGTGGTACACAGAGTCAAGGCTGTTCATGTTTTCTTTTTAAATGAAAAACATTCCCAGTCTATTTGCAAACGGCGGCAGCACTAAACAGGAAGGATTCAAGGAGTCAACTCCAACATAATATAGATACTGTTTCCAATGCAGATAATAGATAACATTCTTATAATTGAATGTCCTCATTTCCATTTGGTCACAGGTGCCGCCCCAACATCTGCCCAGTCGGTACCATTTGTTGCTTTTAGTTTTTCTTTCTTACTCATACTGCGACCTGATGACAGCCCACAAAGGTACACACACCAAAAGTGTACCCCGTCAGCCAGCGTCTGCAGACCACCCCGGCTGGCTCCACCTGCCTGAAAACGTCAACTGTGCTTGCAGAACTTTGATTGACATGCTGACGTCGGTGACTGACGTGATGTGTTTCCCCAGAAAACACCCGCAGAGGTGTGAAGTGCAGTATGGAGTCATGAACAGGTTAGAGCGGTGACAGTCTGTGTGTGTGTGTGTGTGTGCGTCACTGAAGCGAAGAGTTTTAGGAGGTGTCTGGGATGGAGAACAGCAGTTTGAAGGATATGACTCATTACTGGCTCTATGTTCGCCTCAGTATGCACCTTCTCTACCTGGAGACTCACAACAAGGAACAAATGTTTGTACCTGCCTGCTCACCAAGTCTTTTTTGCCGTGTGCAAAATCAACATGCGTGGTTTGAATGTTTCAACAGACTTTTCCTTTTTCGTCCCTTAAAAAAGAAAAAGATGTCTTTGCTTATTATACTCAAGCTTGACGGCATAGCAAAGCACAGCCCCCATGAACCACCATCACATGCTCCTCCTGAGTAAATCTGGGGGAATCAAGCGCTCGTGTCTTAAATCAGTTAGAAAATCTCTTCCAGGAAGTTCAGGTGGTTCACTCTGAATCCGGGCAAGGTCACATTTCAACAGCGATATTAGTTGATACGGGATTCTAAGTGGAATAAAATCTAACTCGCTCTGGTGTAAGTCAATTTTTTATATTTAAAAAAATGAACATCAAGTTCAACTGTGATCTTTAAACATTTTCACAATTACTTTTCTGGTTCCAAAAACGTAGATGCACCAAGCGGCTGCTACAGATTCCTTTGCTTATCCCGTACAGCAGACCCACTCACTGCTCTGTAATAAAATCTAATATGTGGGGCCCTTCCAACCTGACCCGGTCGGACTGAAATACCTAAAGAATGAGTC